GCATCAATAAGAGCATAACGCTAAAAAAAACATTATCTAATGAATTTTAAATATAAAATCAATTAATTTACTCGTTCAGGTTCTTCTTGAATCCAATAAATAGTTGTACTTGCATCAGCACCATAAACGCTACAAGTAATTTCATATGTTTGACCACGTTGTACTTGTAGAATTTCTGGACTGACAACAACACGAAGTTCAACACGAATAGAAGGTGTTGGTTGAGCTGGTGCAGGTGTAGTAGCATCTATATAAATAAAGACAAAAAAACAATTATACTCTGAAAATAATTTTTATATAACTTGCCTTCAGTATTATTGGATTGACTTGCATTTTCTAAATTAGATATTAAAAAAAAAGATGTTATTCTATCATTACATCATATAAAATTAGAAAAATAAGCATACAGCAATACAATATGCATAATGATTAACATGCAGTAATATTTGTTTACTTATTATCGTTTATATGATGGTTAATAGAAGTAAGAGAGAAAAAAATGTTATACGATTACTAACATATGTACAATTGAAGAAGAGAAGCTTATTAATAAATAAGCATCAGTATCATTATGAAATAGCAAATGATATGTAAAATGTTAATCTCACGTTTTACATCTGGATATAATGATTCTTTGAATGTTTGATTTCCTTTTATCACTTCGCTCTCATTCTCATCATCATCATCAACATCATAATATTCAACATCATCTTCTGTTCCTAATATTTCATGCACCACTCGTTGAGTGGTGATTATTATTGTTGTTGTTGCTACGGTTGTATCTATATTTCGAACTACACCATCTATGTCTACCTCATCATCATAATATTCAGTATCTTCTATTGTTGTTGTTGTTGTTGACTTAGTGGTTGTAATTGGAGATCTATATTCGATAATAATATCTTCATCTGGATCATCATAATATTCAACATCATCAATCGTTGCTATTGTTTTATTCTCAGTTCGTCGATCTTTACTTGTAATAGTTATGACATCATCATCATCATTAATTGCATCATCTTCTGCTTCTTCATCATTTGTGAAAGTAATTAGTGTCGTTGTCTTTTTTCTTTTAGGATCTGCTTGATATTCATCGTCATAGTCTATGATTCATGCATAAACAAGCAGTTACAAAACCATGCAAAAACAATCAACAATTCAATATCACACATGCTCAATAAACTTACCATCGACAGTTGCTGTTTCTAAAATAATAAGAAAGAAAATAGTTAATTGTATTCAAATAATTGAAATAGGAGAAAAACATGCAATAAGCGAAACAAGCAAATATATAAAAAAAAGCTCTTTCATTTTCTTGATATTGTCGTGCATATACCATTCCATTCAAAATTTCAATAATATTATCTATACCTGATGTTGTTGCCGATATGGTATCATTTTCTGATGTTGTATCATTTGATGAAATTGTAGTTAGACCAATATTAATATCTGTTGCTGTTTCATTATAAGCAATTGTTGTTGCATTGGAATCGATAGTAACATTTTCATTAACACTTGTTGTTCCTTCAATAATAATAGCTGTTGCATTATCTTGTTCAATATCACTACCGTCTGGTTTAATCGATGTAAAGATATCTGTACCATTATCGACAATTATAATAGTCGATGTTTCAAGATCAGCACTTGTTACTTTTTCATCTGCAGCATCGCTAGTTCCATTGACATCAGCAGTCACTGCTTCGACTGTAGCAGCACCAATAGTAGTACCATCGACGACTATTCCAGTCGCAGCTGGTTCAATAGTTTCAGTAGCAACTGTTGTAAGATCTTCAGCATTAACTGTAGCTGTAGTTCCTGGTGGTAAGACAATGGTTGTACCATCATTGAGGATAGCCGTTACTATTTTTCCGTCTTTCGTAACTGATGCTTCAGTAACATCTATATTGTTAGTAAATATTTTAGATTTAGATATTAAAAAAGGAAAGAATAAGAAGTTTTAAGCAGCATAGAAAAGCAGTTTAGTTTCTACTATTACAAAAAGAGATCTTTGTCTTAAAGCTTACCAGAATTAGTTGCGTCTGGATTAGCTAAAAGAAAAAAAAAAGAAAATAAATTTAATTCATTATTTCAACAAAGACAGCAAGCATATAGAGGTCAATTAAAACAAAAATCATGCAATCAAATATTTTATTCTCGACAGAAATCACACCTGTTGAACCAGTTTCTCTACCAAATAGAGAAACTTGTGGATTAGTTGGTTCAGGTTCAGCAGTTGAAACTTGTGGTGCAGCGGCACCATCGGGTTGATCCTTATTTACTTTTGCACTTTCAGTTATAGCAGCAGTGTCAGTAGGCGCAGATGTAGCTGAAGATGAAGCATTTATAAATGTTAGTAAATTAGTTATCTAATAATAAGCATCTATCTATTAACTTACCTTCAGCATCTTGTCGTCTAAACCTTTGCCTTGAATCGAGTGTGGCAGAAGCAGTCTAATACAAAAAAAATGAGTCTACATGTTGTACAGTACACATTAATGAATATTGTATTACTTGTGATATCGATAAACTGGCAATAAAACAAAACCACAAGAGAAAACCTGTAATGATCTTAACGTCCATCCCCGAAGTAATAGGATTGACAAGTGGAAAAAAAACAGCTAAGAGAATGATATCTGAAAAACTGAGTATATAAATATAAGAAAATAATCGACATTTCACACACACACATATATACACATATATACATACATTGATTATCTTCTTTGTGTCTTATCTAATATATATATATATATATGGGAGAAAGAAAAACGATTTGATCGTCATATCCCATCATGATGTAATCCTAGCAATCTAACTTATTCATCAAAGAGAAGAAGAAGAAAAAACTATTTTATCATTAGTCTCATCTGAAATGAATGTCAAATATAAACAATTACACTTAGAGAGGACATATGTTTCTCTCAGTAAATCATAAAGTTTAGAATAAGCACGTACACACTATGTAATAGACATTAATAACTTCAAGATATATATGAAAAACATACAATCATAAACTATGTCTTAAAATGAGAAAAATATTTTTTTCAAAATTTTTCATCTTTAAAATGTTCAATCACTTACTGTATCTCTTTATACTCGAGAAAAAGAAGGGACATAAGATGTGGAAGATATACGATTATCTTTCTTATGAATAAACGCAAGTAAGTAGTGCATACAATTATGAGCCTGGTCTGTTGTTCGTCAATCTTAGATAAATAGTTTTTTTTTCTTGCCCAGTAATACTAGAAGCGAACTCGACGACCACACAGAAACAGCTAGAATATTATAAGCTCGAGAAAAGACTGGATAACCGTCCATTAATATTGTTATTCTTTCTCTCTACGGTGATATGTTGAGTAATGAATGGTATAACCACCAACATGGCGACCACAGACCGCAAGGGTAGTATCTTTTTCTATCTTTGCTTCTTTTTCTCTTTCCTTATTAACAATAAGTTAGCCAAAAAAAAAAATTATATGGTATGATAAGTCGCGACCAGTGCATTTTGTTCGATGTAATGACCTGGGTACTATTCCAGAAGATATATGTATCCAGTCATCAGGACATAGATATACATGGAAATATACATATGATAATCAAATAACAACATGAAGGTACTTTCCAAGTTGACAACTGAGAATATGATTTATGCTATATAATATAATTAGAAAAGAAAAATCTAATGGGCCTTTTTTTGTCTTTACAGAGTGCAAATCGTTCATCACCTTTGCCTCTCATCATTATGTCAGAAGATAAGAATAGCGTGTTTATCCAATCACATCAAGGAAATGCTATTGCATAAGTATTAGTTAATATATAATATATCAACACTAACATTCATTCTCATCTTTTTCCTTCGAGATTCTTCTTCTTCTTCTTTTAAACGATATAAAATACACATTTACTAATAATAAAAATATCAACACTTAATAAGTTGAGGGACATAGAACATGACAAATAAACAAAAAGAAAAATAAATACATATATAGATATGCTTGTATTTTAATCTTATGACAACATAAACAAATTCACTTACTTAAATACTAAGTTTTCTGTTACATATTTATCGACATGCGTCTAAATCCCAAGTATAATATAAATATGTTTATTATATAGAAAAGGAAAAAAAGAGAAAGTCATTTTACTTTTTTTTTTCGTGTCACTACTAACAGCTCTTTTTTCAATTGAATATTGATTTTTATTCATAATCGAGACATATATTAGAATTACGAAAACAAAATTTGTCCCTAAACTCCCAGCAGTCTTTTTTTTCTCTTACCTAATTATATAATGGAATAGGTATCCTGTAGTGCTTCCATTTAACGTATTTAAATATGATAACTGAATGAAAGGAAAAAAAAGACTAAAAATATATTCTATTCAAGTTTGAAGGTGATCGACTCGAATTTATCGATTTTTTTTTATGAATTGTGATCAAAGAAATTAATATACACAAATGAAATTTAATCTATAAAGTACATTAAATATCTTCAAGATGAAAAAGAACGATAAAAATTCATTAATATCTTTCTTTCCCTTCATTTCTCATCAATCAGATAGATATAACTTAAGCATTACTAAATCTTTCTGTGACATTAAATATTACAATTAACCTTCGCTCTATCATGATAAGTTATTTACTTGGACTATTGCCTAAGTCCTAAGGCATGATAGATACACAGTAGAACAAAAAATAACACATGTGTTGAGGAACAACTGAATAGGATAATAATTAGTATTATTTGTTCTTGACCTTCCTCAACGAGAAATAGCGAAGAGAAAAATGAATGGTAATATATATTGCTATCTAATATCACTTTATTTTAATCTTTATGTTTTTAAACACATGATAAATGTACAAATAGCATTCATATAACATATGGACAAATATTCATACATCTTAATATATCTTTTCACCAGTAGTTTATTATTTCTTTCTAATGTCTCATCAATCAGTATCACAGGGACACATTCCTAGCAGGCAGCTGATAACAAAAAAAAGAGTACTGATGATGCCCATCATCAAACTATATATATATGCAATAGTTAATATCAATGACACTTCTGTCACGCTGTCCATATACATAAAAAGACCTATTGTCTCATATTACTCAACATATTATAAACTCTTATATAACAAACAAGAATATGTCCTTGAAACCTTATATATGAACAAACATATGGAGTTATATATATATATATACACATTACCTTTGATTCTTTGGATCATATAAATTTACCTGGAAAAAAATTTAAATATTGTCGAATACATTTTGTTAAATTTCACCAAGACAAAAATCTATTTTCACATATTTGTCTCTTGTTAATACCAATCGATAGTTCTTTTTTTTTCTCTTCTTTTTAATGGATAATTAAGATCAATCTTATAATATTGAAAAAAGCTTTATCGGTCGAGAAAAGAAAAAGAAAATAAAAACATTATCGATGATATAATCTATTTTTTATTGAATACAATATGTAAACCGCAATAAAAGTATATAAAATTTGTGGTAAAAACGAAAATTGATGACTTTATTGACTTATTTGTGTAATGAATCATTTATGATTTAAAAAGAATATTATAATCTGTCTGGACAAGGCATCAAAAATAATAAATTTCCGAGGATTATTCATTCATTACCATCGCTCAAGACAAATTTTATTCAGGTTGTATAATGATCAGTGATATCTTGAAAATGATTCAAGTGTTCTTGAAAAGAATAGTTGCACATGTAGAGAAATAATCTTATTTTTTACATAAAACATGATTTATGGTATTTACAAAAAAAAATATAATCGAAAATTCAACTGAACAAACTCTTATATATCTCACAAAATGGAATGTGAATTATTGACTGAGAGGATACATATTAATCGTTCAAGGTGCAAAAAGATCTAACCTATTGACAGTATTATTCTCCATGTAAAGTTACTCTGACATATCATATAGTTAAAAGTTATTTTTCCATATGACAGATATCTACTGATAAGACATAATAGCCGATAAATCAAAAAATATGTTTTGTAGAGAAAAAAAGAAGCTAATCATTTTACTTATGATTGAAATTTTATTGTTTGTTAATTATATTTCTTTCCAAGGAGTAACTATCGATTACAGTGAACATTTACCATGTATGATATGATGTTAATGTAGACAATATATTTGATAAATAGTTGTTTTGAAATATATCGTTTGGTGTTGTCGTATTATCTCGAAGTCCATATATAAAAATAATATTTTTCTGTCGAAAATATGTATCGGCTCCATATATCAGAAACAGGGTTTCCCATCGGATGGGATGGGACAGACTTTTCATCCCACAGGTCGATGTAACTTATCCCATCCTATGTGGAGTCCTGATCAGAAAGATCTTCACTACCCTTGTCTTATCTCTTTTTATTTTGCAGAATGATTTAAAAATGTATTTTTTTCTATTAATATCGTATTCTCATCATGTGTGAAAAGAAAAACATGTAATAAATTATGAACTTGTTATGTGTCACTCTATCCTTGTTCTATTCAATGAGTTTGTCATAGAATTTATCAACAAACATTTATTATATGCAGACGAAATTAATAGCAATATGTAAATATAAATGAACTTAAGTTATATTTTTAGTCATTAGTTTTTACAATAACAAGTCTATCATCAGCAGGAATAAAAATATGATCAGACAGAATTATGTTTCATTGGAATTAATCTTAAGTTTCTCCCTTATACAAGGTCAAAAACTAATATAAGTAACAAAAAATAGATGATTAGACAAATTCATTCATTATATAATTTTATTTAGTAAAAACTATTTCATTTAGCAGATGGTCTAGAAACAATTGTAATTATAATATTTAAATTTTATTTTCCGCGATAAAAATCTGTTCATACATATTTTTTTTCTATTTGGCATTACTAAATATCCTGTTTTTATCCCAATATGTTTATGAAACAACATATTACGTCGTTCATTTTCATATAATATTTCGATTTCCATATTGTTTTTACTGCCTTGTTATACATTTATTGTATTTTTTCAAACACAAAAAAAGACGAAATGATTATAATGAAGTTATGACATGACTCTATCTATGAGAAATGGAATAATGAAATTAGATGTTTGTCCTTTGTAAAACATTCAGTTATGAGATTAGAATATCCTATATTTAATAGCATGGATATGAGAAAAACAAATGAAGTTATTTTGGTTATGAAGATTTTTTCTTGTTTTTGTTGGTATTGTCTGAATATGAAAATACGCGAACATCTTTCTCAATACCACGTTGTGTAATAAAGATTTTAAACATTCGTGCAAATGCAACCAAAACTGGTTCTTCATTGATTCGTACAAGATCAGGAAAAGCTTTTCGAAAAGCTACAGTTGCTTCTTCTATAAAATACAAAAATTATGATTTTAAACAAAAAAAAATTCTATTATCAAACATTTCCTTACCTAAATGATAATGTGGTACTTTTGTAAAAAGATGATGAATTTGATGTGTACCAATTGAATGAATTACTGAATGTACATGACCATAATGACGATCAACAGTTGATAATTGTCCTTTAACATTATTCCATTCAGAATCGGCATACCATGGAACATCACTAAATACAAAAACAAGAAAGATTTATAATCTTAAATATTTTATAGAATATCTATTTACATTTCCGTATGATGTAACATTGTTATAATAACCATATAACATGCAAAAATAAACACTGGTATAAGATGATAAGTAAGTAAACTAATGAAACCGAAAGAACATGCATAAAGATACATTAAATAGCACTAGAAAAAGAAAGAAGTTTTCGTTTTATAAAATATAAATATAAATATTTACCATTCCTAAATAAGTACCGAGTGAAAGACAAACACCAATTAAATGTTTATTATAGAATAATGGTTCGAGCTATTTTGAGAAAAAAACTATTATTTATTATAAAATCATTTGAATATATTTACTGGATTAAAATGATTGACTGGTCTCGGTGTATAACCACAAAATAAATAATAAAACCATCCACAACCAGGAAGCCAAAATAAAAGATCATCGGTAAATGATGGTTCATGTGGTGTACCACGTTGTGGATAGAAAACTTCGTCTTTATCAATATTATTTGTATTTTTATGATGATGATTATGTGTAAGCTAAAAGAAGAAGAAATTTTGATTCAATGTTAAAAATTTGTATCTTTAAAAGCATTAAATAGCTAAGTATCCTTTTTCTTCTAATAAGAATAGAATAGATATTAATTCTTTAAAGCATTATGCATTCATATTACTGTCTAAATTGTATTCATATCGGTGACCTATATGATGTTTGTTTGTTTTTTATACAAGGAAAATCATAAAATACAAGAAGATGTGAATTACCTTCCATGTATAATAAGGTGCTAATATCCATGAATGTAATATTGTACCTAAAATAAAATAAAATATGTATTTATATTGATAGTTTATTTTATAACATACCGACAATATCGTTTAATAACGGATAGAAACTAAAACTTCCATGTCCACAATCATGCCCGAGTACAAAAAATGATGTATAAAGGGTTCCTATAATGATTGAGAAGATAATCAGAAATATTGCATACTTTTGTAATAGTTAACAAACCTTGTATATACCAATAAATAGGAAAAAATAAAAATCCATATTTAAAGAATTTCTGTATTTGATACATGACAAAAAATGTTAGGGCAACGTAGATAATATCCTTAATAACATGGCTCATCGATTGACGAACAGTTGGACGAAAACAATGAGCTGGAATTTTAACTTTTATTTCGGATAATGTTGGCAATCGTACATGTGTTGGTAATGTTGCTGTATCTAATTGTTGATCATGATTACCATCAATACTTGTATTATGCCCTCCTTTACCCATTTTTTCTCTAAAAGGAACTAAATTATATAAAATTAAAATTTGATATAAATTGTCATTCGATAGAATGCACTTAAAAAAAAGTAGGTTAGGTCAAATAGTATGTTATGTGAAAATAGCAGGGATTTTTTTGAAGAAATGAGGATAAAACTAAATTATATATATATATCTGAAATCAGCATACACAAGAAAATTAACAAGCAAAGATGGCGTTGAAATTTTTCTATGGAATTTTTTTATATATGAAATTTTCAATAAATATTCTAAATGAATTATCTTGAAACAAGAATGGAATGTTAATTGGTAATATTTTTAATTGAAAAAAATAGATGTCGCTTAATTTCATCCATTATTTAGTTGGTACGGTTCTGCTTATTAATGAGCACGCGGTTTGTATATGCAATGTTCTGGGCAATATTTCTGATTGACACAGCAGAAATTTGTTACGGTCGGTGACAGATACTCATTTTTATGTGTATTTATTTAAAACACAATCGAACAAACTATGTCGCCAGATATTAAAGATCCAATACAATGTAAAATATTCTATCTAATATTCTAAATATTAAGAAAAGTCTGTTTATTTGTTTTTAGCAAGAGTAATATCAGCAGCCGATCGCGAACAATTATCAGCAGTATTCAATCGTTATGCACATCATGAACATCTTGGTGAACGTTATATAACACCGCATGAATTTTTACAAGATTATTTGGGCTATTTGAGAGGCGATAATATAGATCCAACAACACTCGATATACTTTCAGCATTAGTTGATTTGAATAAAGATCAAAGTATATTTAAAAGAAAAATTAATTCAATTTTTAAGAAATTTTTTTTATTTTATTAAAATAGAAATTACAATAACAGAATTTATTAATTTTGAATCATTATTATTAGCATCAGATTCTTTATATCGTATAGCTTTTCAATTATTTGATCGTCATGGTCAAGGTTTTATTACATTTAATGATTTTCAATATATTATTTCAGCAACAAAACAATTTAAAGAATTTCCTTTTAATTTTGATTCGGAATTTGTTTCAACACATTTTGGTGCTAAACGACAAGGAAAAATAACATATAAAGAATTTACACAAATTTTACTTGGTAAAACAAATAAAAATAAACAGGAAATAAGAAAAAAAAATATTTTCCGTTTTGTTTTAGATTTTATTGATGAACAAACATCACAAACATTTCGAAAATTTGATAAAGGAAATGTAGGTTATATATCATTAAAAAGTTTTGAAGTTATTCTTAAAGAATTACGACAATATCAGGCAGCAGAATTTATATCAACGCATTTAAATGATATTGTTAAATTATCATGTTCAACAGTATCACCTAATCAAATTTCATATCCATATTTTACAGCTTTTCTACAAGTCTTATCAAATATTGAATCGATGAGAAAAATTTATTTGGCAGTACGTGAAAAAAAATCACATACATATAGATCATCAATAATAACAAAAGAAGAATTTTTAACTGAAGCTCAACATTTTCCACGTACAACACCATTACAAATTGATATTTTATTTGCTATGACACATTTATTACATAAAACACATTCAGGACATGACATTGATAAAGAATATATTGAATTAAATGATTTTGATTTAATATCAGCTAATGAACATTTATTACCATATCGATTACGATCTGAAATTGTTGATGAACATTATAAAGTTGAACATCAAAGTATTTTGTTGAAAGTTCTTGAAAGTGGCTATCGTTTTGCGCTTGGTAATTAATTTTTTTGTTTGTATTTTATTAAAAATTGATAAATATTTTTAGGAAGTATTGCTGGTGCTGTTGGTGCAACAGCTGTTTATCCGATTGATCTTGGTAAAAAAAAATTTGTTTATATTTTATCATTTATTTTTTTTTGTTTCTATTTTCAAGTTAAAACTCGTATGCAAAATCAACGAAGTACTAGTATTGTTGGTGAACGTCTTTATCGAAATTCAATTGATTGTTTTAAAAAAGTTATTCGATATGAAGGTGTTTTTGGTTTATATCGAGGTAAGATGATAGAGAAGATTTTCACAAAAAAAAATTAATGAATAAATTTATCATTTAGGTTTAATTCCTCAATTAGTTGGTGTTGCACCAGAAAAAGCGATTAAATTAACAGTTAATGATTTTATTCGTGATCGTTTGACATTAGATGATGGAACAATTCCTCTATGGGCTGAGATTATGGCTGGCGGATGTGCCGGTGCATCTCAAGTATGAGAGTTTTCATCAATATATATATTGAACTACTCATTTGAACTCGTATAGAAAATAGATGAATGTGATTATTAGACCAAAAGAAAAAATAGTTCATTGTAAGCTAAATTAAGATATTACTATCAATAGTCCGTTCGATTTACCATGAAAAAAATATACTTCCATACTTTATTCTTAGTGATCATAGGATTCTTTATATATAAAAAGAGTTCACATGATCACATTTTAGAAATAGAAGTCAAATTGAATCTTTTTAGTTCGATTGCAATTTATGATAGTGTAACATACATTTCCCTTCACGGTTCAACTGCAATCTAAAACTGATAAAATCAATAATAAACAATGTATAGATACATAATTATTTATTTCTCTTCCCATATAGATTCAAACAATTAATTGAATTGAATTTGATGAGTTTTCATTTATTTATTAGGTTACATTTACGAATCCATTAGAAATCGTTAAAATTCGTTTACAAGTTGCTGGTGAACTTCAATCAGTTCGTCGACCTGCTGCAAGTGAAGTTGTACGTGAACTTGGTCTTCGTGGTTTATATAAAGGCGCTCGTGCATGTTTTCTACGCGATATCCCATTTTCTGCTATTTATTTTCCAGCATATTCTCATACAAAAAAACAGTTTGCTGATGAACATGGTTATAATGATCCAAAAAGTTTATTTATATCTGGTTTACTTGCTGGTATACCAGCAGCTGGTCTTTGTACACCAGCTGATGTTGTTAAAACACGTTTACAAGTTCAAGCACGAAAAGGACAAACGAAATATGATGGTTTAATTGATGCGTTTAAAAAAATCTATGCTGAAGAAGGATGGAGAGCACTTTGGAAAGGTAAAATAAATATTTTATTATCCTATTTTATTCGTAATTTAATTAAATTTAGGTGCTGGCGCACGTATGCTTCGTTCATCACCACAATTTGGTTTTACATTGCTTACATATGAACTTCTTCAACGTTCATTTAATATCGATTTTCAAGGTAGAAAATTAGAAGGATCGAAACATGTTGATCAACAACAATATTCAGCAAAAACACGTTCATCAATTTTACATTCAACGAATCCAGATCATATTGGTGGATTTCATTTAGCTGAAGCAACATTTGAAGGTAAATTAATAAAAAGTCAAATATCAGTTTAATTGTATTTGTGATTGAATATATTTTAGGGATTGAAACACGTTTTGGTTTAGCTTTTCCAAAATACAAAACAACAAATTCAAATGAGCCTCCTTCAGTTATACCACCATTGACCTCGTTACTTGGTGTACCTGTTCCTCAACTTGCTAGTCCAAAATAGAATCTCAATTTCTCAATAATCATTTGTTGTGTTTTTTTTATTCGACGAAAATCTCCGTTTGTCCAACTATAGTTTAGATTGTATGACGATAATTTTTTTTCTTTTTCTTCAGGAATAGTTTAGAGCTCATTGACATTTAACCTTTTCGTGCTATCTAATTTTATTTATCTTATATAAAGTAAGATAAATACTTTAGATATGCCATGAGTAAATAAGTCAAAATATTTCTTAGTCAATTCTCAATCAAAAGACAACGCAATAAGTACCATTTTTATATTACTCAATTATTTTGTTATATTTTTTCTCTTCTTCTCATTAATGTTAATAAGAAGTTTTATATAAAGTTATTATTTCATAAGGAAAAAGAAAAAATAATCAAACTGCAATAAAAATTTTTTAATATTCGACATATAAATAATTTACAATGTTGCTATTATTACATATCTATTCCATTATCAAACAAATTGAACATAGCGTGAATATAAGTGGTTTATTAAATATTTGATATGTACTCTAAGAAAAGACGCATTTGTATTTATATAATGCATCGTTTTATTGTCTAATATGTTGTTTTGAGAAAACAAAGTTTTACTCCTTGGCTATTTGTTTTTGAGAATTGGTAAATATGTAGCAAAGCATCGTCTTATCCGTAAACAATAAGAGAAGCATTTTATTACTACGCATTATAATAAATTTGATTTTCTGATAAAACAGTCATTTATCATATTTGAGTTATTCTTTTTGAGAATAAAAAAACATGTTTTCTTTGCTTTTGGAATGTCTGAGAACAGGAAAACCGACGTGATTATACAGGAATTAATGTAATCTATTAATACTATCCTATCTAAAGTATTATCACACATAGACATCATCGCATACATTTATTTAATATTAATTTCAATAAACGACCTATATGTGAATTTCGATCTTATGATCAAGTAGACTTATCACGAGATTTTTAATCCTTATAATATATGATAACATTTCGATATCCTCCCAATGGATATTTACCAAGATTTATATTATTATAATCTTTCACTTTAAACCTTATTATGAATATATAATATGACAATTAATTTAAAGAATTCTTGTGCGTAGTTTTCTCACTATTTTTAGATCCATTAAAGAGTTAATAAAAAATCTGTTGTGTTTATATGCATTATTAATAAACGGAACTATTAAGTAGATCATTATTACAATGGTTTGAATGGGAAAGCTAAATAAAAGAATGTTTCATAATTAACAAAATAAAATATACGCAATAGTTCATAATAATCGATTTGTAAAGAATTATTCTAGGTAGAAAAATAATATTTTCTAATGACTATAAATTCTTGCAGAGAATATTTGGATTAATCGTTGCAATGAAAATTTTTTGTGAGTATGTCAAAAATCTGCATGATGATGGGGAAAAATAGAAACTTCACATGTGAAGTGTCATCGTGACTTAATGATACTTAATAACCAACGGAGAGTTTTTAGACGTTCGTAGAAATAAACAAAAATGTTCTTTTTTTTTGTTGTTGTCATTGAAAGAAATAGAATATAATAAACCGGAGATGACTGTAGTCATCAGTGCATAATATCAGTGAAATATCATTAAAATTTACATGTGCACGAAAGAGGTTAACGAGACATTGAATGAAACAAAATATTAGTCTTTCAAGGGAAAATAGGAGTCTGGAATAAATAACATATGGCATTTGTACCATTCAACCGGGATTCCAAGGTTCTTTTTCTTCCCCGTTAGACGTCACGCATAATAAATTATTAATCGGCAAAAAGAGATTTGTTTAATACGTATTTATTTTTACTAGAAAAAAGCTCAGCAATTATTTTAATTACATAAAGACATGATTAAAGTTCATATCCTATTGATATAAAATTAATGTATATGCGCATTACTCAATTTTAAGATTTCAACGACATCTAGTTGTTGATTGACTACTATTTATGTTACCAAGACTGTTTTAATTGAAATTGATTCTTTTCTTTCTCTTTTGTTATTTACTTGAAGAATTTCTACTTTTTTTTCTCACATCAAACAAATCGTAAATATAAATGGCAAACTTTAACGAGAGATCATCATCTATTCGGTAGATATTTTTTTGATGTTAAATACTAAATAACCTTATTTATCTAATAGAGTTACTAAATATTCAGCACCACATTCACTCATTCCATTACGATCTATTGAACCATGGCGTCGTGATATTGTCAATCGTGAATTAATTGTTAATGTATGTATGTTTGAAAAAATATTATCACTTGATGATTTAATTTTTGTAGAATGCCCATCATGGAAATATTCCTCATTATGAACATGATGATGCACTTTATTTCAATAAACGTGAACAAATGAATTATAATATTGAACCACGTGATCGTGTAGATAAAAAATATACTCTTCCATCACGAGCTGAACAACTTGAGCCACGATTTTATGAAATCTATGATCGTCATCGTTCATCATTATTAAGCCGTTATGATCCATCGAAACGTTTTAAAAAGAATTAATTTTTATCAATATATATTATTAGAACCTTTCTTCTATCAAATCAATAATGAAAGAAAAATCAAAATAAATACTACTTAAATCCCTTTTTTTTTTAATGTTTTGTTTTTATTCTTCTCAAATAGAAGTCACACACACAAGAGAGAAGGAAAAAAAAGAGAAAAAGAATGGCTGACAATGTGTTGTTCTAATGAAGAAAAAAAAAATGAGAAAGAGAGAACAAAAAAAAAATTCCAATTTGTCGCATACATAATCATTTGCCTTCACTACCAATGTTTAGCCATAAGCTAACATTATGAAGAATATATATATGTATATATATATTTATAGATATATGGACCAAAAGAGAAATCATGACGACTGAATAGTTGTCGATTGCATGCAAACAGAAAGTTTTCTCTAGTTGATGAGGAATAAAAAACAACTGACAATGACGACAATCAAAAAGAAAGAAAGAAGAAGAAGTAGAATAGATAGATATGAATGATAATAATAGAAGGTGTACGAATATATATATATATATATATAAATATATATATATTTATAAAGAGAAAGAGAGAACAAGTGCGCAAAAGAGTGTTTTCTAAAGACAATTATGATTATATACAAAAGACCAATGTTGTCTATGCTGTTGTAGGATAACGCAACCGGTAGGGAAAAGCGCGGGCTGAGAAAAAAAAATGTAGTGTGTAAGAGTGTCTTGATTCAATCCGATTGTTGCACATGTTTACATTGGTTTTTTGTTATCTTTCCCCAACGAATCTTTCGCACCAGGTGGACCACCACCACCTCGAGGTGGTGTTACAGGTCGATTATTACCTAATGAAGGTGTTTTTGCTTTCTTTTCCGATGGTTTTAAAATCTATTTAGACCAAAAGAAGTGAATAAAAGAGAATTCATATTATTTATTTGTTTACCTGAAAACTACACATAAGTGTTTCATCAACTGACATCATTGCTCCAGCATTATCAAATTCTCCACAATAATTTGGCGCTGAAAATAATGTAACTAATTGACGTTTAGCAAAAAATTCATAACCATCTTCGACAACCTAAATTTGATATAAATAGTTTTTTTTAATTATTCTAAAAATATATTGCAAAACAAACTTGATGAGCACGACAGATAAGATCGAGATCATGTTTATGCAAAAATTTCGATACAATTTCAGCTCCAAATGTAAATGATACACCACGATCATTTTCTCCCCAACCATTAACTTCTTTATCGGGATCCGACCATAATAAATCACATAATAGACCTTGATCAGGTACATCTGTCGGTCTCATTATTCGTCGTATTTGTTCCATAGATTGTAGATCTGGACTTAAGCCACCATGACAACAGAAAATTTTCTCATCAATAATTGCAGCAACAGGAAGACAATTGAAACAATCTGTAAATGTTTTCCACAATTTAATATTATATCGTCGTTTACATTCATCATAAAATCCATATATACGATTAATTGATGCACATTCATGATTTCCTCGAAGAAGAAAAAAATTCTCCGGATATTTTATCTTTAAGGGAAAAGAAAAGAAATGAATGAAAATTTAAAAAAAATGAAAAATTTTACTTTATAAGCTAATAATAAACATATAGTTTCAAGTGATTGTTTACCACGATCAACATAATCTCCAAGAAATAAATAATTTGATTCTGGTGGAAAGCCTCCATATTCAAATAAACGAAGTAAATCATAATATTGACCTAAACAATTTATTTTTTCTAAATTTAGCTAAAATTAATAAACAAATATCTTACCATGAATATCACCTAAATAAAAACAAAATTTAGTATTTTCAAAAACAGTTTTTTAATTTCATTAAACTTACCACAGATTTTTAATGGTGCTTCAAGTTCAAGTAAAATCGGTTGACTTAGAAATATTTCTCGTGATTTCAGACATAAACCACGTACTTCATTTTCGGTTAAATGAACATTTTTATTCGGTTTAGCGCCACGAACTAAAACATAGAACATAAGTATTTATAAAAATGAAATGAATGTTTTCTTACATTCGAGTAATCGTTGAATGATTCCATCGATATTAAGTTTGTCTTGTTCGTTGGCCATTCAAATAATAATAACAATTATTCCAAGAGAGAAAAATATGGGAATAAATGGATGAACAAAAAGTAAAATGAGATAATGATATGTCTACGATGTTGGGTACGGGGGATACTATGAGTTTTGATTAAATATATTCTTTTTTTGCTTTGTTATTAGTTATTTCTCATGATCTTATAGACACACCAGCAGCGAAAACGTTGCTATTTATTTTTATCTATGAATAAAAGAAGAAGAAAACAAAATAAAATAATATTTGACTTAAAATCATATATTATTATTTCTAAACGTTTATACAATTGTTTTGTTTTGAAATAAAAAGACATATTCAAGCGAAATAAACTGTCTCTTATATGTTGAAAACATTTAGAAAGAGAAAAAAAAAGAAAACGCATTGTCTTGTTTTTTTCTTTAAGAATGTGTTATTTCAAGTTATTAATGCATTTTAAATGATTACTTGCGAAACTTTTTTATTAAGATCTCTTCCTCTATTTTTATTGGTTAGAAATAACCAATTAGATTCTTTTATAGTTCTGTTTGTCGATATATATATATTTTGCAGTATAAAGTAACAAATACTTGTTTGATTTTAATCAAGTATCGTTCTTCATAGAAAAACAACGATTTGTTTTACTGATTATTTTTGGTTCATTTAGTCAATAGATTTTTAATAGATAGTTTTACTACGAACATGACAATCTATTTTTAGATTTCTACTAAGGATTGTTGGACATGCAATATGAGTAACTTACTAGTTAAGAAGTACTTTTTTTGTTGTTACTTAATGTCAAAATATTGTTCATAATAAAAAAAACAAATCTAACTGGATAATATTTGTTATATAAAAATCTAATTAAAGCGAAATGAAATAAAGACGGATGTTTATAATGATTATATATCGATATTCATTGTTCCAGGTCGCACGTATGACAAATTGGATAGAACGTTTATGATAATGTACAACAATTAGGACAGATGTTATTTATAGATTAAGAAAGACGGCTGTGCGCTCGATGGAAAATAGTCGTTTTTTTGTTGATGTACTCAAGTCGAACTATTTTTTTCCTTGTTCTTGACATGCACAGATCTTAAGATTTATTTACAGCACATGACCATCGTGTTCGAGAAAACTACGAGTTTAATAAAAATAAAAAAACTTATTAAAATTGTCTTCAGACAAAAAACATGATAAGTATTCTATATTTTATCTTATGCACAGACTTTAAGATTTCTCTATCGAACATGACTTACCTACTCGAGAGACTTTGACACATGAAAAAGGAAGTTCGATTAGAGGATTGTAATTATCCTGGAAATCTATTATCTTTGTTATCAAACGTTTAAGATATCAACATTATCTTACATCAATTATTATGATATACATGCCTGAGTTTGTTACTCTTCAATTTCTTTGATTACTTTTATTCTTCAACCATTTCGAGTTCTTATATTTTAATATTTCCATTGTAAACTCTTTTCAAGCATAAAAAAGATGTTCTTATTCATAAAATATTTAAACGTTTTTTATCGCTATTTATTGAAGTATAAAGATGTTTCAAAATAGTCTTTTATTCTAATCTATTTTTGTAGTACATCTCATTCAAAAGAAAAAAAACAAATCTTCCGTTTGTTAATCATTGTACAAAAGACTTTTTTATTTACAGTACGAACAATTATTAATTAATGTATCTATCGTTTAAAGATAACTGCCATTCATAAATTTTAAAATATCGAATTAAAAATCCTACAAATAAAATATAAATATAGAGGTTATTCTTCCGAAACAATGTTTTGCAGTTCATGATAAGTCATATATTTATTTAATAATTCATATGAACTTATATTACAAATGGGTTTAATATATGTCAACCAGTCTATAAAAGAAAGATACGTGTCAATATTTTGTATTAATGTTTTTTTGCTATAGGGAAGAGAAATTAATGAATTTCGGTTTCCTTTTTATTTTTCTTCTATCTTTAATATATTCAGTGGTAGACACGTATTCAATATGTTTTTTAAAGATTAGCATTTGCTCTATGAAACTATATTGATAAAAACTCTGTCAAATGTATTTTCTGCAGAAGATAGCCGTAAAATTCTCTACAGAACAACATTTCGAAATTAGAATTTGGTAAGACCTCCAATGTGTTTCATCACATAAAAATATTGAAGTCAGAATATCGAAAACCAAGGAAAATATTCTTACTAAAGAACAAGTCAAAAATATATTTGACAAAATTTTTACCGATGCAGTTTAACTCTTTAAGTATCATGGCTCAGCGAATGGATGAAACTTTGTTAGGACTTTATTTTTAACATGTATGTTGTGAATATTTACATCAAAACTTTTTAAAAAACTTTCGAAGTTATTTTCGATCAATACCCGTACCTCCCTACGGGATTCTAGTATCTAAAGGGTTATTAAAATGATAAATACCATGCGAATACACGCATCTACATGTCCTCTATGCCACAATGCAAGCGCATTTCGATATTGTTTCGCAATCGTAATTTATTCAGAATTTGTCAAATTCTAAAAGAGTGGGGCTTATAGGCCCCGTTGGTACTTAAAGGGATATTAATCTTTAAAAAGCACATATTGAATACGTGTCTTCCACTGAATACATTAAAGATAAAACATCCATATTAGTTTACAGGAAATAAAAATATAAATATTAAATTTACCTTTTTTAATCTCAAAAAAAGTATCATTTTTAAGTTGATGAGAAGTGTTGTTTATTGATTCTCTTCAAGTGCGACCAAGATTATCATATCAGGAAAAAAAAGTGTTATTTAGCTTATCATTTAAGAAACAGAAAAGAAGAAGAAGATTAAAAGTTAGTCACGATTAGAAAACGTACTTTTGTTAGCATATATGAAACAGGTCGAAGAGCAATATTTTTATCTAAGTAAAACGTTTTTTTTACCTTTTCATAACCTTTGATATATGAAATTACGAAAAAATAATTAAATTCATTATTGAAATGAACAATCTAGTGTATTAAATACTGAATAATTATTCAGATACTTTCTTGAAATGAAATTATACAATAGTTCTACTTTCTAATGAGTAATTTCAATAATTTATAACTTAGAAGAAGAAAAAAATTCTTCGCGTACATTTTCATATGTTCTTAATTTTATTAATATTATGAAAACTATTTTTAACTTGCATATTTCCTTGACACAGATGATCATCTTTTTATAGTTTTTTTTCGAATAAAAAAAGTACAAAGATCATATTTCAACAATCTTTGTTTTGTTCTTTTATCTTCAAGCATATTCTAATTCGTGCATACATTATTAACCTGGAATATCAAGATCTTTTTAAGAAGGAAAGACAAAGTATACAAAATGATTATGCTGAAGATGATTTATCATCTTCTTTTTTTATCATCTATTGTTATGAGTTTCGTTATCATTCAATAGCCTTGGCACACAAGTAATATATGACACATAGTTGCTTTTTTTCAATTTACATATGCCAGGTGGGCTGCTCTAGAACAGAAAAGAAAGAGAGAGAAAAAAAAAATAAGAAACAATATAAGAAGAATATTTTAGATTTCATTTTGATCAAATAGAGCTGAATATGAGTCTCTGGAAAAAATCCAAAGTACGTCTTTTAGTTATGTAATATTGTCGATAACTTTTTTTCTATTTTTATTTAGACTCGTAATATAACACGATCGAGTGTTTCGCTTCCATCTATGTCAGTCATTAGTTCGGCCGAGCCAGATGTTTTAAAAGTCAAAGTTTATGTAAGAATTTTGAAGTTTTGTTTTTTCTTTAAAAGAATGTAAATTTTTTTTCTTGTTTTAGAAACCCAGTACGAATGGAAATGATAAGAGTTATGAAGTTGGTGCATCAAAAAAACTTTGTATCGATCCACGACTTGCATCCTATCGAACAATGCAATGTTTAATTGCACAAGCTTTTGACATTAGATCTGATTTCACTATAAATGCTGTTCAGAGATGTCCAGCTAGAGGATTAATAAAATTATCTGCTATTTGGAGTGATTGGGAACTTGAAGCAGCAATAAAAAATACCCAATCCGATTCATATCTAAGATTATGTTATGAATTAACTCCACATGACGACGGTATATTTCGATAATTGTCTTTTTGCATATGTATTTATTTGATTTGTGTTTTAGGTCTTGACGATTGGGATTTTGTCGCAATTAATGATTGTAGTACAACTATTCGTTGGCTTTATGTTGATAATAAATCTATAATTGCAACTCTTAGATCTCCAATTGAAAAAAAACCTTCAAAATTTAGCAAAGCAATTAGTATGTATTACAGTATTTTTTTGTTAAACAGATCTCTTTTATATATACATATATTGAATTTTTAGATTATATATATGGTGGACATGAACGACACAGAGCAAAGCCAGTTAGTGAAAATGATTTTAAGAATTATCTAGATCTGGAAGGATGCATTATAAATGCAAATGAATTACGTCAAGCAATTTATGAGGGTGGTGTTGAACCTGCATTTCGTAAGATTATATGGCGTCATTTATTAAACATTTTCCCAGTCGGTATAACTGGTCGTCAACGTGTGGAATATCTTAAAGATGTCGCAAATAAATATGAAAAGTATGTGAATAGATCATTTTATTTTCTTTATCCATTCATTCATTGTTTATAGTTTAAAAAAACGATGGCAAGAAGAACAATATACTAATGATCATATTCGAACACTTATGCGTTTAATTCATACAGATGTATTAAGAACTGATCGAACATTTGGTTTTTATGCTACTGCTGGTGACACTAATGTTAATCTACAAACTCTATATCATATTCTTATAACATATTGTGTTAGTCATCCAAATATTAAATATTGCCAGGGTATGAATGAATATGCATCTACTTTATTGTATGTCATGCGTGATGAATCATTGACTTATCTATGTTTTTGTTCAATTATGAATCGCATTCGAGGAAATTTTGCTACCGATGGTGTAGCTATTGCCACAAAATTTAATCATCTGCAAGTACTTCTTCGAGCTATCGATCCGGTCTATTGGAATTTACTTGAAAACTGTGATGCTGGTATGTTTATTTTTTGATGAGTTTGTATATGTAACTATTTATTTTTGATTATTTTAGCTAGTCTTTTTTTTACATATCGATGGTTACTACTCGAATGCAAGCGAGAATTTCCATTTAATGATGCTTTACGTGTACTTGAGGTCATGTGGGCAACACTACCGATTGCAAGTGAACCACCGGAATTAAATGAACCATCTATACTACTTGAGTCATCAAGTAATAGTATTGATGATATTCTACGTGCAATACCTTGTCGACCACCATTGCGACGTGCCCTAAGTTGCCCCCAATTATCAGTTATAGATGAAACTTGTTCACGTAAAAATAGACATCATTCGTCTTCGTTAACTGTTCATGATAATAGTGAACAATTATATTTTACTATGCAACAGAATTATAGTTCAACATTAGAAAGTGATGAATATCAAATCTATTCATCGATTAATAATAATTCGAATTCCAATTCAACATCAACAAAATCAAGAAAAAAGAGTTTAGAAAATTCTTTTTCACTTAGTGAAATATCAGAATTCGATTCCGATAATTTATCGACATGCTCGAGTACTAATCCTAAACCTAATTATACTACTTCTCAATACCCATTATTAGAAAATTGGGTACAACGTTTACCAGATACTAATACATTATGGCAAGAAGAAGATAATGCGTTCTTACTGTTTGTTTGTATATCTATATTATTAACACATCGTAATGATTTAATAAAACAAAAGCATCTTGAAGAACAAGATTTTTTTAAGCATTTTAATGGATTTCATCGTCGCCATCATGCAGAAAAATTATTGGTATGTGCACGAAATCTCTATGGACAATATATACAATGGGCAAGAAAAAGTCGTATGCACGATGATCTGAGAAATTTTTCTTCTAGTTAATTATTTGTTGTTGTTATTATTTAGGACTATTTTTCTTTTAATTGTTTTTTTCGTTTTAATACGCTATTTTTAAATTATTTATCATTTAATTTATTTGTTTTTTTGTTAGATGACTAGAGAAAATAGGAAAAATAATTTTAAATCTTGGGTGTGGATGTGGATGAGTTTTCGTCTGTTCTTAATCCATACCCACGCCCACACCCAGCCATTATTATACAATTCCACACACTTTACGTTAAAAACTACCTATAGAAAAATGCATTTTTTTTATGTCATTCAATACGAACGGGTCATTTTTGAACCACGCTGTTCTAATCAACGGCATTCTCTTTTATTAAACCAATACTTTTTTAAATGGGTATGATTAAAGACACAATGTCTTTAGTAATTTTTACCGTTTTATAAGTAATTGAGTGCTCTACAGAATATCCAAGAACCGTCTTGATTCCATGTCTTATTAGTTGAAAAAAATAGTTTCTATAAATGAGTCAAAAGTCCAGACTTCTCAATCTGATAAAATAATTGAAAACGTATAATTTGTGTGCAATATATCTAACTATGTTTTTTTTATTATGCGTTCATTGGCATATTATTACATATATAAATACAATTAATTATCAAAAAAGAGAACAAATGAATAAAATACTACCAAATCCAAATAGCACACTGTCGATCAGAACATTTAATTCTTGCTTTTTTCAAATAATTTGTTTTACGTAACCAACCAGGTACAAAGTTCGTTTGTCTACTTGCTTTTTCCAGTGAAATATTTAAATAGATGAGTGACTTGTCATGAAATACATCCAATAAAAGTAATATTAAAAGATCGAAATCATCTTGATTTTTAACAGAACATAATAAACGTTTAATATTTGGAAGTAATTGATTATTATTATCTAATAATTCAGATAAAAATTTCGTACTTGTTGTATTTAATATTAATATTTCAATGGATGGTGGAAGACGATAAATGAGTTTATCAAAATAATCACGACAAGTATTTATTATCGACGTAAAACGAAGTTCTAATGTTCGAGGACAAGAATTTAATAGAAGATAATCAATAAAAGATGTTATATTATTATTAACAGTAGAAATAATCACAGTAAGTATTTGTAAATTTCTAAAAACACCATATGATGATATAGTTAATGAATTTTGAAGATCTTTATTTGAAATTGTCAAATGAAGATGATGTACACGATTAAAGTCATTACTACTAAATATTGTATCTGATTGATAAGTAAGTAAATTTATTGTATAAGTTTTGTCAATAAATGGTAATGTAAAAAGATGATAACCATTTGTATGATCAATTGTTTGACAGATAATCTTTTTTCTAAACCAATCAAAATTTGAAATCATCTCCGAAATTAAATATGCTTCTGATGTTTGATTTACAATTATATTAAATTCAAGATTATCAACATAATTCTTAATTGAATACCAATTTTTACCAAATAAATATTGATCAAAACAATAAACTTCATGTTCAGTATTTCGAAATGATACAGTTAAATGTTCCAGATGTTCTATCATGATAATTAATCGTTCGAATTCAGTAAATAATACAGAATGTAATATGAGACTAAGTGAAATTAAATGAACAGGAAAATGAAGTATCGATGGAATCTTTGTAGTATTATTTAATGTTAATGTAAGTGATTTTAAATTAGGAACAAAAGTATTTAATTGAATAAGATTTTCTGTTGTACAATGATCTAATTTCAGTTTCGTTATTTTTATATGACAATCATGAAGGAAATCAAGTGTTGGTAAATGACAATAAGTTAAATTTGGAAAACAAGACAGAAAACTATGAGAAGGTATGGATCGCCATACGGATGATTCGATTGAAAGTGATGTTAATTTTGGATATTTATATACAAATTTTTCAATTGTAGTACGGTCAGCATCAATAAGTTTAAGTGATCGAAGATGATGGAGTTTGGAAGGTGAAATAGATGAAATAAAAAATGATATTGCATCAGTATAATACCGAACAGATATTTGTACTGATTCAATATTTAATGAACGAAGTTGATTTGTAATATGAATAAATTGAGTTTGACTCAATGGTTGAGAAGAGAAATCAACGTAAAGATGTTGAATTGTTCGAATAAGGGATGAAAATCGATGATTAAGAAAATAAAAAGAATGAAGAAGATCAATAACAGATAAATGCTTGAAGATAGAAAGAAATAATTCATTTGGAAGATCTTCTAATACTAATGACATGATTAATATGAAAACAAAAATCTGACTGATTGTTAATATCTACCAAAGTTGAACTTTTTATGTCCACTATACTCTTTTCGTTTTCGTTCGTTCATTAAAAATAAGTATAGGAGAACGAAATATTCATTGGTAAAGAAGAACAACAGATGCCGTAGTATTGCAGTTGATATTCGAGTATCTCTATGTACATTCTATAATCTGGTATAATAAAAAAAGCTAACTTTGATTTTTTTATATTAGTAATAAATATCAAAAAGCCTTGAAGAATTAGTCTTTTATTGTTTTTTCTATCGAAAGATAAAAAGAGTATAATAAAAGCTAGATTATATATAACAGCGATTATCTATCAGTTATTTTCACTACTGTATACATTTGTATTAGTATTAATTCCTTTGCAACAGCAATGAGTTCTAATTCGCATCACAATCAATTTATATCACAGTTGGTTCCAACACCTGTTGGCTCTTGTCCACCGCCTCCTCAATCCGGACAACAAGGAGACTTCGCTTCTGGCTGTTGTCCACCACCACCTTCTTCCGGATTTTGTCCACCACCTCCTTCATCTGGCTTTTGTCCACCACCACCTCCGTCTGGCTATTGTCCACCACCACCACCAAGTTAATTGTTCTCATGAACATCATTGAAAATTTTTCATATTTTTTCTAATTTCGATTCAGTATTTTTTTATTCAATAAAATATATATTCTAAATTATATTGAAATTCTGAAGCAAACGTTTTCTTAAGTATTCTACTTATTTTAGATAGTCAAAATTTTGTTTTTACATGTGCACTTTGTTGATAAATCATGTGAAAGCATATATCCTTATCTTATACCATGTCACAGATGACGTACAATCTTGAGATAAATATGATGTTGCTATGTGTTCTCGAATAAAAAGTAACAGGATCAAACAAAATGAGTCAAGAACTTGAATATTCATGCAATTACATAGTGATAATATATAATATACACATCTTTTCTATTTTAGCATCAATTTTACTTTTTGTATTAATTCATCTCTGGTTCATATATTATTTAGACAAAGATGGGTAACGATTGCTGTACTCCGAGTCAATATCCTTACCAACCCCGTCCATATCAGGCAGGTGGTGGTTATTATCAATCACCTCCTCATCGTTTTCCACATCATCAAAATCATTTTCCACCATCCAACGCGGGCTACTGTCCACCACCACCTGGCGCAGGATATTATCCATCATCATTTGATCAAGGATATTGCCCACCACCACCTGGCGGCTCAGGTTATTGTCCACCGCCTCCTAGTTCAGATTATTGTCCACCACCACCATCGATGGATTATTGTCCGCCTCCACCATCTTCTGACTACTGTCCACCACCACCTTCATCAGACTATTGTCCACCACCATCATATTAATTATTTATTTTTTAAATATATGTATACTGTTTTCGAATAAAAAAAACACTAATACTATTGTAATATCCTATATATAATTTAAAAAAACCGATTATATTTTTCATATTTTGTACTTTTTATTTAGATGTCGCATGATATGAATATATATATTCCAAAGGTTGTTTTTTCGGGTAGCACATGCTTGTTGAGTTTATGTTTTTTGTTTTTTCTCTTAGTATATTTCACTGCTCTTCGTTTCTTTCCTTTCTTTCTCTATAACAACAATAAAAATAAGCTCGACAAATATACACAGCGACTACTGATAGGGTCTAAACAGCAAATAAAGAAAAACAACCAGACATAATTCTATAAATATAAGAATAAAGTGAAAGCAGTACACATTCTAAATCATAATGACTACAGACTCCACTTTAACTCAACTTATCGTCGATAAATCAAAATGTGAATCGGTACATACACTGCTGCCAACGTATGATCGAAATCAACTTAAACATGGAATCGTACATTTAAGTGTTGGAAATTTTCATCGATCACATTTAGCTTATTATATGGATGTATTAGCAAGTGAACATGGAGAAAAAGATTGGGGTATTGTTGGTGTTGGAGTTCGTTCATTTGATAAACCAATGAGTGAAGTAATGAAAGCACAAAATGGTTTATATACATTAGTAACAAAAGGTACAGATGAAAATGATGTTAATGTTCGTATTATTGGTTCTCTTATTCGTTATATTTTTGCACCTGATGAACCTGAAAATGCATTATCTGTACTTGTACATCCAGATACAAAAATTGTTTCAATGACTATTACCGAAAGTGGTTATGATTTAGATATGAACAATGCTGATATTCAACATGATTTAAAAAATGCTGAAAAACCAAAAACTGCATTTGGTTTTATTGTTCATGGATTAGATGCACGTCGTCGTGCTAATGAAAAACCATTTACAGTTATGTCATGTGATAATGTTCAACAGAATGGTGAAGTAGCTAAGAAATGTATTTTACAATTTGCTAAAGGTTTAAATAATGCTGAATTAGTAGAATATATTGAAAATAAAGTAACATTTCCAAATGCTATGGGTAAGATATTATGACCAAGAGAAAAACAATTAAAATCTCTCTTTAAATTTAGTTGATCGAATTACACCTGCAACAACTGATGCTGATCGTAAATATGTTCGTTCACATTGTGGTATTGCTGATGAATGGCCTGTTGTAACTGAACCATTTATTCAATGGGTTATCGAAGATAATTTTTGTAATGGTCGACCACCACTTGAATTACTTTCATCATCAGCCTATAATGTCCTACTTACTGAACATGTTGAAGCATATGAATGTATGAAAATGCGTCTTCTTAATGCATCACATACAGGCATGTGTTATATTGGTTATTTAATGGGTTATACTTATATTCATGAGATAATGTTAGACAAACAAATTGAAATTTATATTGAACAATTAATGAATAATGAAGTAACACCAACATTACCTCCCGTACCTGGTATTGATCTTGAAAAATATAAACGTACACTTGTTGAACGTTTTTCAAATCCACATATTAAAGATACTGCATTACGAGTATGTATGGATGGAGCATCGAAATTTCCTAAATTTCTTGTACCAACTATTGTTGAACAACTTAAACGAGGAAATTATCCACATTTTTCTGCATTAGCTGTCGGTGCTTGGATTCGATATTTAGGTGGTAGTGATGAACAAAATAAACCGATTACATTACAAGATGCATTAGCTGTTGAACTTAAATTAAGTGAATTGGCTGAAAAAACAAAACCAAGTGCAAAAGAAATTCTTAGTATTAATCAAATCTTTGATACTATCGCTGAAAATACACAATTTGCTGAAGCAGTAGAAAAAGTCGTTGGACTTTTATATAAAGTTGGTTCAAAAGAAACACTTCAACAATGGGTTAATGAAGCTCCAACAAAAAAATGAAAAACTTAGTTTTAGTTGCCAGTCTTTTTTTTTATTCATGTAGAGATAACAACATAAAATCACAAAAAAAAGCAATAAAAACAGCTGATTAATCAGCACCATTTAGAATCTTTTCGATTTTTGAACTAAAAAAAACAAGAAAATAAATACGAATTTAAAAAGAATAATAATAACTTTTACCGTGCTTCATGAATTTGTTCTTCCATACGTTCTTTTAATGTTAATTGTTTTGCTGTATGAGCTTTTTCTGTTAAATCATCAATTAATCCTTTTAATCCTAAAATTAATTTTTTGTTTAAATCAGATGTATATCCAAATATAAAATACTTACCAGCAATGTTATGAAATACTCGAATTTGTCGATCACCAGAACTAGCTACATACTTTCCTGTGCTATCCATAACTAAAACTCGAATTGAGTCTAAAAAATAATTCAAAATAAAGTATTTTAATATTTCTATTATTTTACCCGAATGAACATTTTCAATCTCTTGTTCACATTTTTTTTCATCTTTACTTAAATTATAAAACATAAGACGATTATCGATTGAGATAACGACGGAAAGTGCATCAGGTGCAAGAACAATTAAACCTGCACGTTCGATATTATATGATAATGTACCAGTATATAAACATTTTGGATCTTGTTTATGTATATAATCAACATCAGTATTCCATAATTTCCATGTATTATCTTTTGATATAGTTGCAGCACGTGTTGAATCTTTATTTAAACTAAAGCATAATACTTGAGCATCGTGTCCTTTGATATCGAATGCACGTCGAATTTCTTTAAAATTTCCATTAGATTTTTCAAAACAAACTTCAAAAAAACGAACATCACTCGTAAAACCAGATGAACCAAAAAATCGACCACATGGAGATACAGCAGCATAATTTAAATGACCTTGATGAGTTTCAATTGTATTAAGAACTTCACCTTTGATATCAAATATAATAATTTTATTATTAACTTCTGCTGACATAATAAATTTTCCAGTACAAGCAATACCAATTGAAATAATATTACTTTCATTTTTCTATCAAAAATAAACATAAATTTTAATAGAATTATTTTGTAAATAATTACTTTAGGAAAATCTAAGACAGATTTAACATTTGTTGGTAAACCATCGGAACGTTTTTCAAATTTATAAACACGTATAACATTATCTTTTATTAAATTAATAAGAAATGCTCTAAAAATATAATAATGAATATTTATTTTAATTTTATTCGATTACTTACTTTCCATCAGGACTGAATGCTACATGATTTGCTTGACCAAATTCAATGTTTACTCGAGTATGTCTAGCATTAATAATTATAATTATAATAATAATTAATAGATTAAATTAAACATACTTATGATCTTTTTCATTGAAATCTTTTGTTTGCCATAAAAGAACACTATCATCTTAAGAAGTAAAAAAATAAATGAATGATTATTAAAGAAAAGAATTATGAAATTACCTTCGGCAACTGATGCAAGATATTTATCATTGTGACTAAAATCTAAACCAGTTACTGAACTTGAATGAGCTCGTAATGATGTACATAACCATGGATGTGTAAATTTAGTTACTTCTTTTGTATCTTTTTTTATTGTTTTTGGTACTGTCGATTTTTTCCCACTAGTTTCTGGTTTAATTCGATTTTCAGTTGTATCTTCATCGGTTTTTGATGACGATGATGATGACGATGAAGGTGATCGAAAGAATAAATAAATAACTGAAAAAATAAGCACAAAAATACCAGTTATAGCACCACCTAATGCTAAAGGAGATACAGCAGTTGATGATTGATCGTCTTGCATTCTTGTTCACTTTTTTTCAATGTATGTAACAGCTGTTTTACACTATGAATAAATATATAACCACAGAAATTGCTAGAGGTCGCTGAAAAGAAATTGAAAATGATTGGTACATCTTCGAAAGAGATAATTTAGACATTAAAAATGATTTTATAAAGTGATTATTGAAAACTTAACATGTTTAATCATTCGTAACCTATCAGAAAATACCACGAATATTACCTTAATGCTACTAATCTCATTGATAGCATGACACGCAATAGATTTCTCTTATGACATCGATGTTCATCTATTAGATAGTTGAAATAATAGATTTTTATAATAGAAACTGATTTTTATTGATTAAATCATTGAAAAGAATATATTTTAATCTATGAATTCTCAGCAGATAATAAATTTCAACAGATTTTCCTAACAAAAAATCGATGAAAATCAGATTTTTCACGTTCTTTCTTTACGTGGGTAATCATATGCTGTTCAAGAACATTTTAAAGATGTCCTAGCGTAGAGTTAATATGAACTTTTTTACTTCTGACATGATTTCTTTCAATTTATCTATAGAGGTCGCCGAGAGAATTTTGACGTAGTCATTGGTACAATGGAATGATAGAATTTGTTTATTTGCTCATTCCGATTAAAACCAATTTTAAATATGTTGTCTACAGGTGATGTACAAAATTATCTGCGTAAATTACAAACTGAATTACGTTTTATTAAATTTCGTGATGTTGATTATAAATCGTTAGTTTGATTTTTTATTGAATTTTTTTTCAAATATATATCTTTTTTTTTTGAAATTAGACTTCAAACAGGAAATCCATGTGAATTATTAAAAATCTATCATTATGTTTTTCTTGATTTTAATCCATTATTTGCCAAAAATTTACTTGATAAATGTAATTGTGATTTCTATGGTAAAACAGACAGTCATTTTATCGATACAATGTATAAAGTTCGTAAAGAATATTTCTTTTTCTTATAGTAAAGATATATTTTTCAACAACTATTTTTAGACATTACGTGATCATTTCAGTTATAAACCTCCCATAACAAAAGAACAATTTTTTACAACAGGTTTTGCTGAACGAAAATTACAAATGGCATGCGATGTTATTACACTTGTTCGACAAGAATGTAAAGATATTAATATGATTCAACAGCAACAACAACAAAAAAGACCTGGATCTAATTCAGCACGTGTATGTCATAGAATTATTCTTAGTTTCATAATATGTTTCATATATGTTTAGCTAGCTAATGGTATTAAAGAAAAAAAACGAATATCATCAAGTACTCGTAAGTAAAAAATTCAGCTAGTATGCTTTTTTTGTCAAATGCATGTTTTAATCTGTAGAACAAGCACAAGTATCAAATGTTTTTCATCCATTACGTGATATGAGTTTAGAAACAACAAATCATGATATAGAAGAATTTGCAACAATTCAACAACATCAAGGAAATCATCATTTAACAATGCCAAAACAACAACATATTGAAAATTGGTTAGATGGATCAGAATTTGAAGTATCATGTGAGAAATAATTTTTCTGTGAAAATTTTTGAGAAAAAACTAAATATATATTTTAGCGAACCATCGAAATCAGAATGAATTGAATGAACCAATAACTGCAATGACAATCAATCGTATAGAAGAACAAATTCAAAAGTTAAGAATTAAAGTTGAAGATATTAATGCTCGACTTGAAAATGTGACTTCAATTATACAAGAAACTCATCCAGGAAATCTATCATCATCTGATATTACAAATTTTAATGCTCGACTTGTCATCGTTGAAAATGAATTATCTATGTTACGACGAAAAACACCACAAACATTTGTAAATAAATTTATAGTTAGTAGCAAAAATACTTTACTTTTATCTTTATCTAGAACAATAATGAAAGCCGTACCAATGTCGTTGAATCAAAACAAAAACAACCATTTGTACCGCAAGGTATTCTTGTTGGTAAGTTCGATTCTATATCAGTTTTTTTTTCTAAGATTTATCTATTTAGATTCTGATGAAGACGAAGAGACAGTTAAAAGTTATGCAGTAGGTTGAATTATCTTATTCAAAAACTTTATTTAAATGTAACTTTCTTTTTTGCAGATCGAAGAATCACTTGAAGATTTTAATGCAGTTCAACGAGCTCGATCATTACTTGATAGTGCTGAACAATGTAATCGTGATTTATTACGATCAATTCAGACAAAATCATAGAACTTTTCTCATGTTTTAATTCACTTTTGTGTGTGTGTGTGTGTTGCCTTCTTATGCACGGGTATCAGATACTTAAATAATTAAAATTACTCATATAGATTAGAAATGTTTCTTTTACTTTAAATATAGCGTTTTCTATCAATGTATGGATAAAAAAAATATGATTTCTTTTTTTTCAATTTTATTTATTCTTCTCGACTCAAAACAATTGTTAATGATGATGATAATAATAACAATAATATTTTTGTTGAGTCGATCAATATGGACCAGTTCGATCGACTATCACATGATTGTTTAGATACGTGAAGGATAAAGCATCTATTTTGAAAACAAAAAAGAAAATAATATATTTTAATATATATATATCAAAATATTTACCACTCGAATTCGTCGTCCGAGTGCTTTTGGTGGTAAATTACGATTGAATTTAGCACGTACACCACCACTTTTACCATGTGCTCGTGTTACTTTACCCCACATAATACGTACACGATTTAAACGTTTTTGACCGGGTACTAAAGTCTTGCTAAAAAAGGGAAAACAATTTTCTTAAAATTCAATGAAAAATCTTTTCGTTTACTTTTTTGCTTTGTATACATAAGCGCAACGTTTGCCCAAATAAAAATTTGTTTCACGTCGGTTATTAACACCGTCGAGTTTAAGTAAAGCAGTATTTTCATGTTGATTACGTTTACCACGTCGGAAACCAGTGAATACTGCTTTTACATAGAGACTAATAACAAAAATAATTTCTATATATATTAAAATTCATATGATGAAATAATTCATACCGGCCCTTTTTGATGAAAGCACCTTGTGGTTTTTCAACTTTTTTTGATGATGTCATCGTTATGATGTTAATCTAATCTAGAAGCAAAATATTTTGAATATATCTTTATAATTAAAAGAACGACTAAACTGATCTTTTTCAAGTTTGTAATTGTAAAGGAAAATAAACAAAATAAATATATAGCTTTCTGATTGGTTAAACATAAACCATTACTTATGTACTTTTTTTTCATTAAATATATGAAATACTTTCTGATTTTAAATGTTTTATTTTTTTTTAGAAAAAAATTCCCGAAAACTTTCAACTTTATTGTTTTTAACAAAAACTTGTCTTCTTAATTTCGATTGGTGAAACATCCCTCCATTCAAAATAGTGATATATCTTAGCAACAAAAAATAAATGAACGATTTGCGGTCTTTTGAAATAAATTCACTATTCAAAAACATATGGACAAGAAAGTAAAAATAGAAAACTAATTCAAGTGACATCAGCTGATGTTTTGAAGTTCAAAGTTGACTTAAATCGACATTTTCACTTCCTTGAAAAGAATAACAATCTCTTTGTTTTTTCATTAATGAACGATTTCGGATTATAATCACAAATGAGTTTTATTAAGTATAAAGTTCAGTAAAATCACATGTCTTAACAATTATCAAATAATTTATTTCAAAATTTCTTAAAAGAAACTTCATTAATTCTTTACATTTTTATATCAATTATATATAATATTATTACAATTATGTCCTATTCATCACATCAGTTAAATGACAAAAAAAAGGAAAAAACAAAATCTTTTTGAGACATTTAGTTTCCTATATACTTTTGACTTCATATAAAAGTTAGCGACCTATATATTAGTTGTTCTTGAAAAATAAAACTAAACTGCATTATGGCAACAAATACAACAAGTGTATATCTAGATTTTATAACGCGTGAACTTAATCGTTATATTCCACTTCCAGCTCTTATACTTGGAACTATTGGTAATCTTTTAAATATTATGGTATTCTCTCGTTCATCAGTACGAAAAAATCCATGTTCACTTTATTTTATTAGTGGTAGTATTGCAAATTTTCTTTCTTTATACATTGGTTTAATAACACCATTTCTTGCCTTATATAATCTTGATTTTACACAACAAATTAATATTTTATGTAAAATACGATTTTATCTTCGTTTTAATACTATAACACTTTCAACATGGTATATTTTATTTGCAAGTATTGATCGATTTTTATCCACTTCTATGAATGTTCGTTATCGATCATGGAGTTCTATACATATTGCTAAACGTATTATTACTTTAGCTAGTATTATTTGTTTTATTTTTCTATATACACAAGTATTTTATTGTTATTCAATTAATCAAAAAAATGTTTGTACATATTCAACTAATCTATGTAAATTAAGTGTTGATATTGTTTTACTTATATGTAATTCTGGTATTCCACCTATATTAATGATTTTAATAAGTATTTTAACAATTAAAAATGTTAAACATTCAAATCAAATTAATTCTCATCAACGTCGTCGTGATAGACAAATAACACGAATATTATTTATACAAGTGATTATTTTAGTTTTATGTGCAACACCAATTACTGCACAAAAACTTTATAGTTATGCAACAATGTTTATAATAAAAGATCAGCTAAGAACATCGATTGATAATCTTATTAGTCAAATAACTACAGAAATTTCATATATTAATAATAGTGCAACATTCTATATTTATTCATTGACCAGTAAAAAATTTCGAACAGAAGTTCGTCGTGTTTTTTCTTCATTATTTACTGGTCAGATTTGTAAAACAAATACTGTACAACCAATACCAATAAAAATGAATTCAAATGCTAACAGAATTACTGTTTACAATGATTATCAATGCAAACCGTTGAGAACTTAATTTAATTTTAAATCATTTTTAGAGACAACACATGTATATCGAATTGTTTAATGTTGTTTTGTTCGTTATGAATTAAATATAAAGATCTAATAAAAATAATTGAAAAATATACAGAATCGATATGTATAAGAAAAGACAAATAAGATTAAACAGTCACTACGTGATGCTTATACTGTAAGTGATCAAACATGAGCAATTAATAATAATAGAGGTATTTGGGTATCAGTCAACAACAGATAAAGCTAAGGGAGTAGTTTTAGGCTTTACTTCAATATGCGCTTAGGGATTGAGCACTTTCATCAAAGTTATTTTTTATGATGTGTGACTTTTATTTTTAATATTTTTTCTAACTTTCGATAGGTTTAGTATTGATTTTCAAAATATTCGGAAATAAATCTGGATTCTTTAATCAATAAATACTTTCTTTTATATCTTTGACTTTATAAGGGATACAATTTAGCGAGATTCAATGTGAAAATAGCAATGGAAAACATTTAGTTCAGTGGTAATAATACATCTACTCATCAATGATTAAATCTTTGTTTGTTTTTGAACTAATTAACCTTCTGTATATTTATATGAATAGGAAGAAAATGATGTTATAGTGTTTTATTTCATTGTTTGATTATTATCTATTGAAATAAAGTATGCAATCTTTATCATTGTGCATTAAAAGTACACATCTATGAGCTCATGCCGGAGATAAATTACCAGGGTGTAGGTGGATGTGGATGTGAGCATCAGAGAGTATACCCATGTAAAAAAGTTGTGAAAATCATGATTTTTATAGGAAATCAGATGAGAAACCAATTTAAATGGCACGATTTTCATAGCTTGGTAATCGATTAAATTGAAAAAATTAATTAAAATCGATTAAACTGTTGTATAAAATTGATTGAAATCGATTAAGTTGTAAATAATGGATTAAAATCCAATGATATTTAATTTTCGTAAAAAAATAATTGATTTTAATCGATTTTATACAAGAACTTAATCGATTACCAAGCTATGAAAGCCGTGCCATTTAAATCGATTTCTCATAAAAATCATGATTTTCACAACTTTTTTTTACATGGGTATGAGCGTGGATATGAGAGGAGCACAACACGCACCCAACCTCAAGACGGTAGTTTATTTTACATTATAACAGTAAATTTCTTTACAGCGCATATTTTTCAACATATTTAATAAAGCATAATTTATACAGAATATAAAAAAATACATATGTATGTCTTCCTCGCTTTTTCTAAACAATATTGTCTTGTACAGATTCTGGTGCAATAGTATGTTGTCTTGTACAGCAACATAATTTTCTTATCCATCCAGTTCTATTCGATTGCTCATCATCATTCGTTATTGAGACATTTTGTTCTTTATTATCGTTATGTAATGAATCATTGTTATTCTCCTGATTCTGTTCATCATTTATTTTACTTAAATATGTTCCAAGTACATCAGGATATGGTGGATATTGTTCAAAATAGTAAGCATTTATTTGAGCACCAATAATTAGAATTATTGCAAAATAGTAGAAGAAAAGAATCAAAATGACGGCAAAACCAATTTGTCCTTTATAAATTAAACGATAGATAAAAGATTAAATAACAACCAATAGATTTACCTGCATAATTACCCATAAATTGACGTACATACAATGGAAATAAAATAATAAATATTTCTAATGTTATAGAAGCAACCAAAGCTCCACACCAAGTGGTTTTCCAAGTCATTTTTTTATTTGGAATTAACCAATATATTAATTCAAAGAGTATAAATGCAATAGCCAAGGAAATAATTATTCCAGCAAGAAATACTCCAAATTGTGCACCACCTCCTGAAACACTATTGATTACAGCAGATGGAACAGAACTAGCAATAAGCATCAATATAATAACAATAATTAACAGAAATAATGTACCCAAAGCCATTAAATTTTGACGAAGAAATGGACGTTCAGGTAAACGATAGATAATTGTCATACACTTATCAATGGCAATAAATAGACGAGAAGAACCAAACATTGCAAAAAGAATTCCAATAACAAGAATTAATCCAGCATCTTCTGATAATTGATTAAAAGCAAGATCGACTACCTAAACAAACACATTATCTATACTTTAGTTTTATTGCAATTGAAATACCTGTTTAATACCGGATTGTGTTGTATTATCTGCTGGAAATGATTGAATAATTTTATCTTTCAGATCTTGTTGAGATTGAGGATTATTTTTCAAAGCTAAACCCAATATTCCAAAAAGTGCTACAGCAATTGGTAAAATTGCCACTAAGAAACTATAGGCAAGCATAGAAGCAAAATCCAAAGACCAATCATTAAGAAATTTTTTAATAAAACGACGAACAGGTTTTGTTTTGTGTTTAATATGTTGAAAAGCGTTCGACGAGGTTATATTTTCCATCATTATTCTACCTGTAAAACGAAGAAATTATGTGAGGAATAATGTCGACGTAATAAATAACAGTGGTTATATACATGTGATTGAAGAGTAAGAGAAAAAAAGAAAAAATTTAAAAGGCAACGAGTGTATAAAATTCTTCTGTTCTGTGCATGCACGTTGAAAAAAAGAAAGAGAAAACGTGAGTTCATCGAGAACAATATTAACGTAACTATCGTTTTTTTCATACGTTATTCATCAAGGTCTTATGTAAGTCTCTACCATTTTTCTCATTTATTTAATTATGAATTATTTTTCAAAAAGAAGATATTCATATTTTATGACAGTACACGCGATATTGTCGTCATCGGACTATAAGATTAGCGGAGTGGAAAAGCAGGAGATTTCTCCATGCTAGTTGTTTTCTCCAGTTAAACTCACAATCTCACACCGATCATATCACTCATAAATGATATCGTCCTTGCGTGATTCAAATTCTTTCTCATAGACGATTTTTAGTTAATGAGAAAACATTGTCAACTATCAATTTACTTTTTAAATCAATTATATGCTTAAAAGATGGCCTTGACTATCCTATGAAACATTCTAGAAAGGTTTGAATATATGCTGTTCAACCGAAGCTAGATGTGAGGATGAGCGAATATGGGTTGTAAACTTGCTACGAAATCATCCTCGCAAAAACTGTTTATACTCATATCAGCATTCATAATTTTTATTCTCTCCTCCCCACTCAAAGAAATGCATACATGATTCCCATGTAGCCGAATAATTGGAAACAAATGCAAAAATGACTAATTATTTTCCATTATGTTGTGAAAAACCATTTTTACACGGCTTTAATTCATTGAAGGTGTGGGTGTAAGAGAAGCAGTAAGAGCAATAACTACACCC